CGCGTTGTCTGCTTTGGGTCTCCGGTGCGCGGCATGTGTGTGCTCATCCTGGGCATGGCCTCGCTGGTGCCGCGTCTGCTGGAGAAGGGCTTCCAGGAGGTGGCCTGTGTGCGCACCTCGCGGCCGCTCTCGCCCATGCCAGACTTTACCGACTCGCTGCAACGCGAGGCGCAAGCTCTGGCTGCCGCTGCCGCTGCCGTTGCCGCTGAGGCTGTGGTTGGCACCACACAGGAGGAGCCCAAACTGACGCCTGAAAGCGCAACGGCGGCCGAGGGTGAGGCGGAGGATCTGGCTTTGGTCTCTTCGGCTGCCTCGGCGGGTTCCCAATGCAGCGGCGACACCTCGCCCCACTCCACACCGAATTCGCAGTCGCAGGACTCGAATTTTGCATCATCCTCATCGCCACGGGACTCGAACGGACGCAATAGCTCGCTGACTCGCGAGGCCAGCGTGGATACACTAGCCTGTAAGTGACCGAAAGCATCCTTTGTCTTCGTGTGTACAATGTGTCTTCCTCTGTCTCCCTCTTTATAGCCAACTTGGCCGCTCTGTGCGCCGTCAATCCGGATGAGTATCGTGCACCTGTTAGCATCTTTGCCAGCGGCAATCTCTGCTTGCCGTACTTGTCGCTGCCCTATATGGATCTGCTTAGCGATCCCATGGTCCTCTCCTATGTCATTGGCACCTCGAACGTTCTGTTCCAGCAGAAGCGACAGCTGGCCGACGTTCTGGTTGACATTGAGGCGGCCAATCTGGATGCACACGATCCGGAATTGCGTCGCCAATTGGTGCTGAGCACCGAGGACTTGCGCTACATGGACTACATAATGAAGCATGTGCAAACGCCCAAGGAGGATGCGGAGGGCAGCGAGTATTGGATTAGGGAACAATTTCAGGGCTACATTCTGGCCTTACTACGCACCGCTGTGGCTCCAGGTGGGTGCGCCCTCAGGTCCAGGACCCTCTTATGAATGCTTCCCTCTCTCTTGTTAGATTCCACGCCCAAGGACAACGATCATTTCAATGCACACTTTATTGGCGCCTTTAAGCGCACCCAATGCTACCAGGAATGGTTCGATGTCCGACCTGAACCCGAATTTTTTGAAGCCCTGCCCGCTGGCCATCCCTTTGCTGGCACCCTATCCGTGACGGACATGAAACTGAAGCTGGCACAGTAAGTAGCAGAGCCCGCTTGGTCTTAGTTCCATAGTAAATCTCGCTCCCCATACCCGTAGGACCATGCAGAACAGCGAGAGTGGACGTAAAATCAATCAGGCCGTAAATACCACAAGTCGAGCGGTTGGCGGTGCCATTTCGCAGGCCAAGGGCGCCTTCTCCAGCTGGTGGTCAGCGATAACAACTACACCAGCGAATCCAGGCAATGGGGGAGCAGGCTCTGAAAGCGGAGACGACGGCGAAGTTGGAGCAGCGTCAGCATCAGTGGTTGTGGCTGCCGCCCAAGAGATCTCAGTTACATTCCAGAATCACAAAGATGCCGAGGATTTGGATATAGCTGGCGTGAGCATACACCTGGCTGGCCAGGACAGCATCAACAACAGCCACAGCACGGACCTGGAGGAGGCTCACGAGTCACGGAATGTCTCCATGGAGCAGCAGCAGGGCATTGTGGAGATTGGTCGCGAGGCAGAGCTGCTCGACAAAACCGAAGAGAGTCCACACGCGAGCATAGCGCAGCAACCACTGCGGCCCGGCTGTGCCGCTGATGTGGCAGCCTCAGCCGCAACCTCCGCCCTAGAGCGTAACAATGGAGATGTGTTCATTGTGTAAGCGCGCAGGCAGCGCCACAGCAGAGTATAAGCTGCATTGTATAAACAACAACAAACACACTTAACTAAGCCCATAATGATAATTATTAATTAATTTATTACGAAACAAATTTTGTGTCTCACTCTCCATGTGTCTCGATTGTTTTTTTTTCTTTCTCGATCACCTAAAATTGGCCAAATAATATTTATTTAATATTTATGTGTAACACCCTTGCCCACCCGCCACACACACACACACACACAATGTATGTATGTATATGTACTATAATCTATTTAAAGCTAAAGCTAAGCCGTTCCAAGTGCAATTTGTAATCCAAAAATAGAGAAACTTTCATCCGCGTGGCAATAAGCAACTCAAAGAAAAATCAAATGTATTTACGATAAAGGAAGGGAACTCCGCCTCTGTCCAGTGCGTTCGAGAGTCCTAACCTTTAGTCCAACAACAAATGTTATCCAACAAATAAACCAGCAATCCCATAAAAAATGTTTAATTAAAATCACTTAAATTTGATTTTATATTTGCTCAATCGAAGCAGCTGTCAAGTCAAGGCTGATTCGAGATCAAGAAGCAGCCGCCAGAGCAGCAGCAGGAAGATCGCCATCCAATCGCCATTAACCCAATGAATTCCCAGCTAGCCTTAATGCAAATTCCTCTAGCTAAGAGCATTAAGGAGGAATATGCAGTCCTTTTGCTTTAGGTTCTACATTCTCAAAAGTCTCTTCTGCTGCATCGATAGACGCACAGACCACAAAGACCAAGCAAGAGCCATTTATATAGGTACCTTAAACGGCTATAAAATAATTTATTAACGTACAAAAATGAGCAACTCGAATGCCTCAGAGTTTAGTAGTTCTTTATGGCTTGGAAAACAACATCGAAGGAGGGTAATTCGGTGCTGCATATCTGCTGCTTGGCTTCAGACAACTTCTTCTCGTTCTCCTCGATGGTCAGCTGCACAGCCTTGAGTTCCTCCTCGGCTTCGGCCAGCGTTTCTTCGTATCTATCGAGGTAGCTATTGTGCGCTTGAAGTGCCTGCTGCTGTCGCAACTCGACGCCCGTGATGAGATCCTCGTTTTGCTGCTTCACGTTGTTCAGCTGGAGGTGCTGCTTGGATTCCTCGGCCTGCAGTTGCTCCATCCGGGTGGCCAGCTCGTACTGAGTGTCGATCAGCTGCTGCTCGTCGTGCGCCAATGTTTCGAGCTTGCTCTTGTGGCTGGCCTCCATGTGGGCCATTGACTGCTTCTGTGCGCGCAACTCTGAGCCCAGGCTGGCCAGCTGCGTGTCCAGCTTGCCTTTGATCTGGATTAGATTGGCTTTCTCATCCTCCACGTGCTTGCAACGGCCAGCGGTCTGCTGGCGATACAGACGCAAGCGATCGGCCAGTTTGGCCAGACGCTGATGCCCATGCAGCACCTCCTCGTGCCTGGGCTGCAGCGACAGTGTCAGCTCCATTTTGGCCTTGCCGCTGGCCTTGCAGATCACCGAATCCATGCAGATGTTGCGCGCATGGCAGTTGAACTGCTCAATCTTGTCCAAGAGCTTTTGTTTGGAGCGTGACAGCATGACCTGCTGATTGAGCTCGCGCTCGGTGATCTCCTTTATCTGGCGCTCATAGACCTTCGACTCGTTGCTGCGATCTGTGCACTGCACTTGCAGATCCTTCAGCTGCTGCGCCGTGTACCGCTGGCTGGACACTGTCTGCTGTATGTGGCGCAGCTCCTTTCGCAGCGCTTTGAGGTCCGCTGTCTTTTGCTTGGCGCTGGAGCGCAGCTCCTGTATGGAGTTCAGCTTCATGACATCCTCTTGCTGAATGGCCTGCAGCTGCTGCCCGAGCTGGTTCTGCTCGCGGCTGAGGCTTTCCAGCTGCTTAAACCTCTTGCCATCGCCGGGCAGCGATTCCTCCAGCTTCAGCTCGAGGTCGCTGAGCTTCTTTTTGAGCGCATCTATGTCCGCGTCCAAGGCCCGGCTGTCGGCCAGGTCGCACTTCTTGTTGATTACCTTGTCTCTGGTGCGGGCCTGCAGCAGCGCCTCTTCCTCGTTGTTTTCCTGGTCCCAGAGCGAGAAGCAGGCCGTGGACTGTACCAACAGCAGCTCGATCAGCTCCTCGTCCAGCACGATGGCTGGTGTCTGAGTGGTGGACATGGCCAACGACTCGGAGGCCATGCTGTGCATGTAGGCGCTGTGCTGCTCGGCTGTTTCCATAAAGGGGAAATCTCTGCCCTCCTCCACGGCCTCCGGCTGTGGGGCAAAGTCCATCAGAAAGTCCAGCATCACGATGACATGGCCGAACGAGTGCTGTGTGGTTGGCGTCATCAGCGACGACTTGTTCACCTGATACGGATAGTTGAGCTTCTGCAGCGTATTCATAATGTCCTCCACGTGGTTGCTGCCCACCGTCACCCGGTTCCTCGAGATTTGATGAAAGAAAAAGTTAATTATGCCCACAAACTGCTTCGTTGTCATCTGGCGCAGCCCGGAGCCGCGATTGAAGAAGTCCCCCGTGATGCCCTGTATGGCGTGGCTGGGTAGAATGGCGTGCAGGTAGTCCTGAATCTGTTGCGCCTTCTCTGCCACCCACTTCTTGTTGGAGTGGTGCGGCACCTCGGAGCCCTTGCGATGGCTGCTCATGGGTGTGCGGTTCGGCGGCACACCCATCTGGCTGCCGCGATCTCGCTCCAGGCACAATGGCTGGCCCAAGCGTGAGTTCGATGGCCTGACGGATATTTAAAAGTAACCATTAAAACCAATGTAACTGCCGACTGTTCATTCCTTACCGTTTGGCCATGCTACTGCCCTTCATGGGTGTGGGCGTGGCCATGCTGCGCATGCCTAGCCTGCAAGAAGCACAGCGGGAAAACAAAATTGCATTAGAAAAAAGAGAAACACAACAATTGCAATTTGTAATCCAGCGTACCTGGTCTGCCGCTTTTCCCCATCCTCGTGTGCATCCTCGCGAAACTCGCTGGTTCGTCTGGGCATGGCACGGTACATGTTTAGCTCTCAATAACTTAATTGACACTTTGGAAAACAATATTGTTTATTTTGCGCGTAAAGTAGTTAAATTTTCGGCATCGGACTTAAGTTGGCTGTGCATGCTGGCGATATATCGATAGGTGATCGATATATCGATGGCAAATGTGTGAGAGCGCACCTAGAGAGCCCGCCAAAGATCAATTCAAACTAGAGGGTGGGTGAGTTGTTTTCTTTCTTTGTGAACGTTTTGCTTTCGTTTATTCCAACATATTTATTTAATTGGTATTATTGTTTCAAGTATTACACAATAATGATGCCCTCTCGTTTATGATGTACATTAATTTATAATTATTGTTATTATTATAACTAAATATCGATCACATTTCCTTTCAGAACTTCTCTCATTCTCATCGTTTTCATTATCCCTGTTCGCATTTCTTTCGTTTTTACACTCCACGCACACGCGCACTTTACATCATTTTTCGGTTTTAAGGAAATAAACAAACAAATAGCAAAAAAAAAACAAAGCACGCTTTAACTTAAAAAAAATACATTTCTATACAAATATACAATTAAAAGAGGAATGCACACGCGTCTTAACTAATGTGCAATAATAATAATAAATATCGTTTTGCCGTGTGTTCAATTATTGCCTCTCTCTCTCTCTCTCTTAGGGGCTGGGGTGGGCAGGTTGGAAATGGAAATATACAATATTAATAGTAAAAAAAAGGAAAAAAAAAAATTAAGCGAGATTTGCAAAAATCAAATCTGCGCTAATACTAGACATTGTTTTAGGCTAGTTAGGGACTAACCAACATGGGAATTAAGTATTTTTATTCTATTGTTAAGGACTACTTTTGCATTTACACGATTCAATTATTACTTCTTGTTTGGCTGCCTTAGGGTTAACAAAAGTAGAAGGGTTAAAGCAAAAGCAAAAGGAACAAGAACAAGGGCTGGGCAATGCCCCGTTGCACATGCAAAAGTCTAGCTCTGTCGTTTTCCCCCATTTTGTATACGCATATAACTCTTTAAATTGTGTATAATATTGTCCTAAAAGCCTTAAAAAATATTATGCAGCCACGCCTGCCATGTATACAAATATATGTACAGATGTATGGGCTATATACTCGAACATAACTTCGTTTGTAGAGCAAAATTGAAGGAGAACACAAGCAAAAGCCATGTGAAGGACAAAAGGACAAACTAAACATTGGAAATTATTATGTGTGTGTTGGTGTTTTTGTGGGTTACATAAGACTGGTACAGACTATACATACAACTTCTAGGATTTCTATGTTGTTATTTTGCTTTTCTCTTTAGGTACATAACAGTTCTTTATATTGATTTGCGGCTGCTTTCATTTTGTTTGGGTTTCTTGTGTTTGTTGTTTCTATTGCATTAGTTTAGGAGGAAACATTTGCCATTTAGTTGGGTGCATTGAGAGCATTCTCCACGCCAGCACCGTACTGCATGCCCACGGACATGGTGAAGATCCACGCGACGGCCAGCAGACTGCTGCCCAGCAGATCGCCCAGCGCCGTCAGGTAGGGTATGGCCGAGTTGTCCGGATCGATCTTCCACTTCCACATGGCATGCACAATGATGTGGGCAATGTACAGCAGCAGCGTTACCTACGGCAAACAGAACAGACATTCAGTTAGCCAGCTTCAGCGAGCGAGAGAGGACTGGGCAGGGATCCGTACCTGAATGAAACTGGCCAGCAGATAGGAGAGCATAAACACCCAGGACACGGTTGAGGTGTGCATGTTTATGTAGTCAGCCGCAAAAATAAACAGCACATTGCCCGGTATGGACATGGCGATGAGTATCCTTGCTGTCTTCGCATAGGGAACTGCAACGAGATTAAACATATTTTAAATTATTATTTGCAATCGTCTTAAGTGCTCCTTCTCACTCTTACCGCCTTTGAATAACGCCTTCCAGGGCCACTCCCAGATCTTTGCGTGCGGTGGTATAATGCCAATAATTGAGCTCTGATGCAGCATTGTCGATATCTTGCTTGCCTGCACCGACACCAGATTCCCGCCAATTCCATTAATGATCGGCTGAAAGACCACAAAGCCATCAAAGACCTCAACAGCAGCATCCAAAACAAGGCCGCCAAGTCTATCAAAAGACGCAAATAAAAGATTATAAAATTAGTTATGATTCGATCTTAATTTTGGTATTACAAATGTTTGCAAATCGTAGACAAAGTTCCTGCAAAGTCATGCCAAATAATTGCTGGCACATTGGGAAGTGGGAATTCTGCTTCCAATTCTAATTATAGTTTGAAGATTTAAATATCTATATGTGATTGTTGGGTCTCCCTGCAATTGACCTGCTGCCAAAAACGTGAATTCAGGGACACAAATTTCACCTGGTCATTCCCAGATGTACGAAATCTATAAATATAAAGACAGCCATCTACGTAGTAGAGTTCTTGACGCCTGGACATGATTTGGCATTAATGAAGCCACCGATCGATACCTAAATATAGTCAGCAGAAACTTGACGCTTTGCCATGTGTGTGCTGTGCTGTGGGGGATTTGTGCTTATCACGGCCCCGATTCTCGATGCTTGAGACTCTAACTTTTGGCACGTTTCTTTGTTGTAGTTTTGTTTTGGCACTTGAACGATCAAACCTACCCACTTATGCAGAGGGCCGACAGCACTGGCACCCAACCGCTCTTCAGCACCGGACGCGTGTACTCGTTCCGCATCACAATCAGCACCCACATGGGCAACAGCACCAGATAGCAGGTGATCACAATGAAAGTGATCCACAGATGGGTCTCTAAATGGAACAGGAAATTTGATCAGTCAATATGGCTTACAATAGAATGGTGGAGACCAAGAGACTCACTTATGTTCTCATACAGCAGCGAAGCAATGAAGGAGAGCAGACTTATGGACACCACATCGCCGATGGAGGCGGCCAGCGGTGTGGCCAGGTTATCCGGATTCAAGTGGTATTTCTGCGAGAACAGGATCACAGCCACCAAAACGAAATCTAGTGGAAAAGAAATATCTTGGGTTATGTTTTTTGAGATTTATCCCTGCTGCTGCACTTACCCAAAACAAAGCACGATGAGGTGGCCGTGAACATGGCCGAGGCTGTCAGCAGCATTACGTTCTCAAAGTAGAATTCTCCTGTCATGGCCGCACCCACGCTCACAGCGAACATGGCCACCAGAAAGGAGGCAACAGTGGCCTGGACCTGCACCAATGCTATATTGCCCACAATCATTCGCACCACATCCTGCCGGCTCGTCATATTCCCCAGATTCACTTGTGTGGACAGACGCGAGGCGAGGCACATGTCCAGATTTCCCTTCAGACCCAACAGCGCCGGCACCAGGATAAACAGCTCGCTCACATTCTTAAAGACGTACCATTTCTGGGTAGAGGGAGAGCCAGAGAACAATTTATTTATTTATATTGCAATATAAATTCAGATACGACCAAGCTATATGGCTGTGTGTAAAGCTAAGCTCTCTGTCTGTCTGTCTGTCTGTCTCAAGTCTGGCGATTTCCAAACATATTCAGTTTGGTGCCAGTTTGGCCCAGAACTTTTACCATCGCAGGCAGCCCATCAATTAGCAGGCAAATTAAATTCACATTCGCAGACAATGATAAATGAATGATAAATTCTAGCAACGCATAAAAGTAGTATAAAATCGAGGGACGAGACGAATTTTGATACAGTTCAGGTGGTGGTGCTGCTGCTGCAGCATTAAAATGTAATTTAAATCATTTACTTAATGCACAACTTCCTCGATAAATATTTTTTTGTTGCAACTTATTTGTACTAGTTTTTGCAGCTTGGAAATTTTCCCACCACTGTTGTTATTAATTACTTATAATTTTCTTTCGTAGCTTGGGGCTTTTGCTTGAATCTTTTTTAATGGTCGGACATCAACGGCAATTAAAATGTTGTTTACAATTTACAATTGCCGCAATTTTGGCTTTTCGTTTCGCCTTTCGTGTGTTGATTTTCTTAACGTCTTATCGGCGGTTACACGGCAGAGCGTTCCCGGGCATTATCAGGTGTTGTTTTTGTTTTGTTTTAATCTAGTTATTTCTTACCTCTACTTTTCCAAGCACAATGCCAGCCCCGATGGTTCCAATGCCGGCGAGGAAGAACGGTATGGAGACCTGCAGCAGGATCGTTGACCATTTCTCCTGCTTGATGCCAGGCCGATTAAGTGCCAGCTTCTCCTCGGAGCTGCCATTGATGCCAGCGATGCTGGCTGCGTCTGCTGCCACCAGGGCATTGGGGCCGCTGCCTCCGCTGCCGCCGCCGCCGCCACCGCCGCCGCTTCCCGCACCTCCACCGCCGCCGGCACTCGCTGCACCAGGATCCGGTTCGGAGGATGCTATGGACGTCGTGATGATTGAGCTTAGTGAACCAGTTGTCGAATGTGGTAGGCCGGACAACTTCTCATTGTCGGGATCTGATTACGGTTACGGTTATGGATGGGATCGGGTAGAAAGGGGAGAAAAGAAAGTGGGTAGCACATATCGGCCAAGATGCATGGTTAGTACATAAATATTGTGGGATATTTTCGAGAGGGAATCGCGTGCTGGATGCTTGGTTGGATGGATGGGTGGTTGGTAGGTCTCTCTAGGTGTCGTGTGTGTGTGTGTGTGTGTGTGTGTGGCATGCAACTAAATTTAGCAGCATTATGCAATTAGCAAAGCAATTAATTAACAGCACAATAAATAATATGTTTACACGTGTGAATATTGTGTAGAATATTCTCTTGTCTGTTGCTGTTTTTTTTCTCAATATATTTTGCCTCTTTCATTGGTCTCGTCTCGAGGCTTCTTCTGCTCTCGAAACTCGTTTCGAATAGAACCGTTTTGCTGTAATGGTTCGAATCCGAGCTCCCCCTCCTGCCCGCGCGTTTATTTTATTCGAAGTTCCATAAGCCATTAGTCTGGGCCGGCGGCAATTAACAATTTCGACGACAAAAAATAAACACTCCACCACTCGATTATCCATTAATCAAATTATTATTGTGCAGAAAATCAAATTAATTTGTATATAGATACAAATAAAAATAAATAGACATTTCTTTAGCGTTGCGTTGAATCTTACTAGAGTCGAATGTGTCATTTTGTGCCCACTCAGAGCAGCAGCAAAAAAGCGAAGCAAATGCACAAGCGAAAAGTGCAAAAGAGACTCGAAGAGAATGCTTTACTCGCGTTTCACTGGTATGTGTTTATTTACATGTTTTTACTGGTCTTATTTGGCTTACTCAAAGATACGTTTATTTTCCTTTTGGAGTCCCCAGAGCGACAAACAGTTGGAACAGCTTCTAAGCTGTTGATGTGGCTCCAAACCTTTAGCTTTCGTTGAGGAAGGGCAAGTGCACGGTTCAAAAAAAATAGTCCAATAGAAAACATTGCATCTAAGCGTACTTTTCCCCACTCGCAATATACCCACAAATATTATCAAGGGGTAAAAAACAGAGATTGAACAAATAGAGAAACCAAACATGCAATGATCCAAAAGAAGATGCGAAAAATGAATGCTTCTACGGGACACGTTTTACAAATATAAAATGCTATTAAAAGAACACTTTTAATGGACTTCAAACGAAATTGCTAGCAGCAATTAAAGTCTAAAATAATCATTAACATTTGTGCATAAAGTGTAGAAATAAATCAAAGTTAGAGATAGAGTTTATGTACATAAGAGAGAAGGAGAAAGAGGGAGAATGCGCAAAAAGGAGAAGCAAAACAAATGTAGAAAAAAGAGATAGCTAAGAAAAGAAAGAAGGATCCATGGAGTAGCCAGCCCTTAAAGTCCGAAATTAAAAAGCAATTCAAAGGCCTACCTATACGAGGAGACGACGCTGAAACGTTAGTTACTTGAGGCTTGAGAGAGACCTCCGGCTTGAAGGACTATTTGTATGGGATTTGAGGACTTTTGGGCATGGGACATGGGACATGGGGAGGATCCACTCACCGTTTCCATTGAAAATGGTAAACAATTTATATTTATCATCCGATGCCAAAACATCTAGGGGCGTGGTTGCTGTCAGTGTAGACAATTGTTGTTGGTATATTGGTGGTGTGGCATATGCGGATGGTGGCGTTGTTGTTGTTGTTGTTGTGTTTTTGTTGTTTGTATTATTGTTGTTATTATTATTATTATTGTGGCTCATATTCATGTTGATTGTGATGGGTGGCGGATCATTGTCAATTGCTGCTCCTGCTCCTGCTCCTGTTCCCGTTCCTGCTCCCGCTCCTGCTCCTGTTGCATCGTTCACCATTTGCGGATTGGCATAGCCGGAGAGGCGTCTCACATTGAGCGGCGTCAGTCGATGTTTCAGCTCATTGGGTGTGGTGTGTGTGGTTGTGGATGGTGTTGTATATGGTGTTGTTGTGGCTGTGGATGGTGCGGTGCCTGTGGATGGCAGTATCTCATGCTGCCTGGGCTCTGGTTCTGTCTGATTGTGCTGCAAGTCTGTTGTCTGTTCGTTGGGTAGCGACATGTTTGCATTTGTTACGTGTGTGTGTGTGTGTGTGTCGTGTGTGTGTCCTGTCTTTTATTTTTTTTTTTATTTGTTTATTTTTTATTATAAACCTAAATTCAAACTAATCCCTGATTTCTCTGCTGCTGTTTTGTGGATTTTTAAAAATTCAACAAAAAAACACACAAAAAATTAATTATGAACTGCGTGTGGGCTTGCTTAACTAAATATAATATAATTTATATTATTTTTTATAATAATATCTAACTATCTATCGGCTTTGCATACTTTTTGTTGTTTTTTAATTTTTTTTCGTTTTTTTTTTGTTTTGTTTTGTTTGAGCTTTTTTTTCTATGACTAAACACAAAAACAAAAATATCACACGATTTGGTTCTCAATAAATAATTTGTAATTTGTAATTGATTTAAGTTAATTTAATGAATTCAACTAGAACTTTGCAGGAATGTTGTAAATGGCTTCTCGTGCCTTCTCTTTGTGGAAAGGAATAAAGGGGCGACGCTTGGAGAACATTTACAAATTGGAATAAAATTGAAAGAATCCAATGGGAATCTATGTGGACGCGTTGCAGTTTACATTTTAGTTCGTAGGTTTTTTGGCTCTGCTGCTCTCGTCTCTGTCGCGTCGTGTCTCCGTGTGTGTGTGTGTGTGTGTGTGTTTTGGTGTTTGGGGGGTGGGATGATGTTCTGGGGGAGCGAGGTGGAGGTAGAAGGACTGAGGCTGTGACTGAGCTTAGTCACCGGACCGTTGATATGGCTGCAAGGGTTTTAGATTCGTGTTACATTTCGGTATTTGGTTTTGTTTTTTGTTAAAGAATAAGTTGCGGCTGGAAATCAATGGAAGTCAATCAATAAACAGAACAGAGAAACACAAACTGCGATCCCACACTTTGTATTTGGAGAATAAGCCAGGATATTCTAAAACTGAAATCCTACTCTCAGCTTGAGGAATTTCTGTACTTCGCGGCACAATCGATGCACAAGCGAATGCTTCAAAAGAGAATACACGAGTGAAATAATCACAATTTCATGCACAAAAAATTGCACGCACTGCATCTGTTTTGCCTTCAAATGTTTCCGCCTGGAGAGCTCTGTAACGATCATCCATGAGGGCCCACCAAATCGCAGTCTGTTCTTGCCGCTTTGGTTTTTAGCACTCGCTTAGGGTCTGTTTTGTGTGGGTTTCTCTGGGAGGTACAAGTCAGGGGCAGGGACAGGCCAAGCTGGAAAATGGTCAACATAGGGGCACAGTGGGCCGATAGGGGGGAAGACTTTTCATGCCGATAAGATTTGAATTTGAGCTGTTTGCCTGCTCGTTGACAACCGTCGGGGACACAATAAATTGCCCCTGTCCACTTGATTATGATGATGATTATTATTGTCGTTCGGCGGCCAGTCAATGGTCCGTCGCGTCCACTCGAAACTCGAGGGCTCGAAGGGTTCTTTGTTTTTTACTCGTCTTTGGGACGTAGCTTATCAGCCACGCGAAGTGGCAAGGCGACGACAGCCTTCGAACGCAAATCAAAATCAAGTCACTGCAAATCATTGACAGCCAGCCCACGCGACAAAATGCGAATGAAACAAAATAGCAACAGCTAAAAGAACAGATACTACTTTTATGTGAGCTTAAAGTGTGCCATAAACGGGTTGGGGAGCGGTGTCGTAAATTCAGTTTAATTATATCACTGACCGGGGAAAAACTGCTTTAAACCTTTCACATTTCGAAAACCTTTTTGGAAGCCCACAAAAAACTGATTCAAGGGTACATAAAGCGGTATTTCTTTCCATAATCTGAATCGAAGAATCCTTCCCACAAACTATGTTCCTTCCTTTGAACTCCTTCCAAAGTCTGGAGTAGAAAACCGAGAACATCGGAGCGAGCTGACAATAATGATTTAAAAATAGTTTACTAATAAAAATGTCTAGAATCTTATCTGGATTCGTTATCCGACTAATGCCGCCGATTTCTACTGATTAGTCGGAAGCAGGATTTACCAGAAACTTGGCCCAAAGAGCGGCAGTCATGTGAACCAAACACACCGTACTGTATCGAGTGGGTAGAGCGTAGACCGATATCGGTCGGTCTTCAGGTTCAAGCTTTACTGAACGACGTAGAAACAATACTTGCAGATAATGCTAAACCATATAAAGGTGTATGATTGCCAAACTCAATATTTAAACTGACAGCTTTTCTCTGTTCTCGGTCTGTGTCTGCCTGCCGCCCCTTTGTGATTCATTCATGGGAGGTGCTAAACATTGTATTGTGTGCAGCCCCAAAGGTAGGGATAGGTCATGTGGCAGATCCAATTCAAATAGTTTCGAATAATCCCTCTGCCTGCATGCCTTTCTATGTGCAAGTGATCTTATCTGTCAGGAAGTGTCTTGTGGCAATGAAATGAAAATGAAACCAAGTTCCAGGAACGACACGTGATCGCTTGTGGCACCAAGACCCAGACCCAGCCCAACTGCAGCTGCAGCAGGCACTGAACAACTTAAATGAAAGCCACTGCTGCAGAGAGAAAAGAAATCTTGTAAGTTACGTATACGCAGAGGGAGGTGCATTACCCATTTTCAAGTTCAAAGTCAAACAGAAACATAAACTTATGTGTCGAGCAAGTGCCATTTGTTTTTGTAACTAAATGCAAATTCGTTTTTCATTCCTAATTTATTTTTGTTGCATTTTCGTATGCGGAACAAGCTCTGTGAAAGACCAGACCCCAGACGTCTGGCTCTCTCAATCAGGTTGCAATTATCGCCATCCGATCCGCTGGGTATATAAATGCACCTTGATTAGTGGATCAGATGCCGCCGTAGACGACAAACGACGGCACAATCGACAATCGAAAAAGAGTCAATCTTTGCCTTTGCCGCCTTTCAGTCTTTCGGTCTTTCGGTTTCAATCTTTTTTCTTTCACACAATTTGTTTATGGTTACCGGAGTGTGGCTTATCGGAAAAGAGGGGCCTCAGCTAATTGATTTGTTGCGGGCATTATTTTATAAGCCCCTTGCCTCTTGCAGCTTCAACTCACTTAAATGCCAAAAGTTTCATTTTTAGTTTTATTGGAGCCACAGCCCCAGCCACAGCCCCAGCCACAGCCATCTGTAATATTTTGTGTCTGTTTCTCCGCTTTTCAGTTGTCTGCCGTCTGCCGCTCGTCTGTTGCCTGGCAGACGATTTGTCTGCGAAATTCCAGTTCGCTTCGTTCGTTCCATTCCGTTCCGTTCGGAACGTCGCGCGATGGTATGGAAATTTACGAAATGCCAAGAGCAGGTTTACGGAACCAGTTCGCTGGGTGGGGGGGTGTTGGCCGCACGAGGCGAGGCAGCTACTTGGATGTGTGCGCGGTTGGAGAAGATTTTTGTTGTCTTTTTGCCTAAAATATTCTATGAGCGGAACTAGTTCCAGTCCGTTCATTGTCCCAATGAACTAATTGTGGTGTTCTGGAGGATCCTAGCATATGAAATATGCAGCAAATAGCACAGCTATGCGAAATTTTAACGTTACTAACAGTACCTAAGCTAACGGAACTCTGAGCCGAATCAACTTAATGTTACGCTCTGGGCACAACAAAAAAACCCTTCTACCGTCGATATATGTGTCGGATAGTATGGATACTAAGAGGAATGCCCAAGTATCTAGTTTGTCTCGATGACCTTTCCGGACATCTTTACCTTGACTGAAATAGAAAAAAATGGGGGTGCGGTTCGGGGGGCCGAAAAACGAAACCATAAACCAAATAATCTGCTGGCAATCTTTTGGATTTTGTTTCTGACTTTTGGCTATGCCTGCCAAAATTTCAAGGTTGAGGGTTCTTGAGTCGAGAAATCTATATTAAATCTGATAATAAATCAGTTTTCCTATGGCGTTTAATTGCTGTGTTTCAAATCTCTACGATTAGATCAAAATCGATGCATGAAAATTATAAAAAACAAAACAAGAAACCCAAAATTAAATATGTACTACTCGTAAAGTGAAGACAAGCCACAGGAATGCTTTGCTTTTTGTATGGCAAACATGAATACATAGAAAGCAGTTGATTTTTTAAGTATTTAACCCAGGAAAGCCAGCTGTCTTGAGTTAATTTGGAAAACGTGCGCTAAATGTGCGATGATGAACCGCAAGCTAATTCTAATTCTAATTCCTATTTATTGTGATTAAAAAAGTCGCTGTTGTCGCCGAGAGTCTGGCGACGCGCAGAACCCACAGAGCATACAAAATATACGAGTGTTTATTTAGATATTCCCTGCCCTCCGCCCGCCTGGTGTTTAATTCAACAGTTCCCAGGGTTCATTTGCAGCGCTTTTTCGTTTCTTTTAGTTTCCACTCAGGCTAAACGTTCGCCCCCATACGCTCGATGTGCATTTTAAATATATAATAAATATAAATATGGGAATGCAACGAATGAAAGCTAGAGAAACGAAAGCTGTTGCGAAGGACAACAAGCCATTTGATTTGAGGACAGTAAAAGGGACTCTGAATGTGCATTGTGCATTCCTTTGCCATTTCTTTCTTTCTCATCCACGATATAAAACGTGTGACCCACATGGCCACGTAATATCTAATCTGAATATGCAACTGCAGATGCAGATAGCAACAAGTAGGTGTCATAAATATGCAAATCGTTCACGTGATCAAATCATTGCAAGAATTGGCATTCGATGTAAACGAACTTTGGCGAGCAAAACTAAACAAACCATTGAAACATAATAAAATACAACATCAAATATATATTATATATTTGAAACGCAAAGTTCTTTCTATGGCATCTGGACCCTGTTGTTTTTGCTCATATAATTTATTTTATTTTATTTTGTTGGATTTTATTGCATGACGCAGGTGAAATCGAATTCGGTTCTCGATCAAGCGAAAAGACTGTCAATTATTTATTCAAAAATTATTTGTCCAGGGGGATAATTTGTCAGGCCACAGCTAAACAAAAAAAAAAGACAAAATGTGAAACAAACACAACAAATTGTTTGTTTGTCCAGACAATTTGCAGACCCAACACGATTAATCACAATTTTTCTGGACTCAATTTTGGTTTCTGATTCTGTCACTGTATCTGAGC